CGGGTTCCGGCCCGGCTGGGCCCGGGCCGACGGGCTTTTTGGATAGCCCTATATGTACATTCTAGTAAATGCCAATAATCCAAGGTCAACATATCATTATTCTATTATATACTATTTTTTATCATTTTTCTACCTCCGACGAGTTGGTAGGTGAATTTTAGTCCAATTGAGCACTGTAGTATGTGAAAGAGATTTTAAGATATCGTATTTCATAGCGTTGGATGCCAGCAAGACTCACCTGACTAGCTTTGGCATAACCATTAAATTAACTCTAAGCTTTAGTGACCACCTTGGTTAAAAAGAGACTTCAAATGCCTTGAGTTCTTACCTTTGAAGATTAGAGCGGTTTGCCCACCATAAGTTCGAGTAGAATGTTAAGAAAAGAGATAAATTGTATGTATTTCACATGTGTATCATATCTTATAATCTTTTAATTTTATGAGTAGTCATAATATATCTTATTCAGACAAGGACCAAAAATGTATGTTCATATTTTTGGTAATAAGCCATATCAGAAATATGTATCTAATATCTAACATATTACCTATATAAAATCTCCTTATGATGAATAACTAAACAAGAACAACCCAAGAAATTTCATTCAAACAGTCAGTTGTTAAAAGAAACACTGAGCCTACTGGAGTATGGTTAGAAAGAAAAAATAGCGCATTTAAAACTTTCTTGGTTATTGTTTTTGGTGGACTTGTTGTCGATTCTTGAACGTCGACCTTAAAGCATCATTCGACCTACTCCGCGGGCGAGAATCCCAAATTCGAATTACCGCAGGAACAAGTATGTCGTCTGATATGTACCTACCAGCAACTCCAAACGTGGAAGGTGACCGTAATCAGGCCAGGCCAATGAATTCTGGCAGAGTATGCAATACGTTCTCAAAGTGTGGTCCTGTGCTTCTTATAGGCCTAGAGGCAGTCCAAGAGTCTTCATGTAGATTAATTGGATCCAGCCCAAAGGACGCACACTGCTGGGCCATTAAACCTGAAGGCAAACAGTTACTCAAAGTGTTGTAATAAGCAACAATGATCTGGTCCACCTGCAGAAACAGAAGTACTAGAGGTCTATCCGCAATTGGGCAATACTAAATGGGGTCTATTCGCAATTAACTCAAAAGGAAATACAAAGACGAGCAACGTCAAAAGCCTAGCAAAGACAAATGCAACGTCGAAAGCATAAGATCTCCGCATAAAGATAATATTTCTATCAGCTACTTCATTGATAAAAAAACTAAAAAAGAGGAGATGAAAAAAGAGGAAAAGTATCACGAAGAATCCCTTTTTTTGGGGTTGCGACTAAGCCTACCTTGTGAAGGTAAAATCGGCAACAAGTCCCATATATTTCTCTCAACACGAAGAAATTTTTTAGTGTTAAATGTATTCCAGAAAATTGACTGATACATCGAAAGGGTTAAAAAAAAACCTTATTGATTTTGATGAAACAAGTTTATGTTAGTTCTCATACGGCATTTACCCTGATGAATTTTAATAAGTCACCTGTAGCCAGCTACACCCAGGAGTTTTCTTCAAACTCCCTTCCCCCATTTTCTTCTTCAACTCACTAGACTTATCCCACATTGAAGCAGATGAGTAAATATTTGACAACATAACATAATTTGAAGCTTCATCTGGCTCTAATCTCATCACCATTTCAGCTATCCTATTCCCATCCTCAACATTCCCATACTTACTACAAGCACCGAGCAATGTTTTCCACAGCAACGTTTTCGAGCGAAACGGCGCTTCAAAAATCAACTTCTCAGCTTCTCTTACTTCCCCTGCTCTCCCAAGGAGATCAACAATGCAAGCATAATGACTGAAAGTCTTCTCCAATCCATACTTTAAAGTTACAGACTCAAAATGCATCAATCCTTCCTTCAGAAATCCACAACGGCTACAAGCAGATATAACTCCAATAAATGTAACTTCGTCTGGCTCAATTTCGTGCATTTTCATTGCATTGAACATTTCTAGAGCTTCTTTACCGAACCCATGCTGGGCATAGCCACAGATCATTGATGTATATGATATAACACTGTGATTCTTGATTTCATTGAAAATTTTTCTTGCTTCTTTGACGCACCCACATTTACAATACATATCAATAATCGCTGCTTCAACCTGTATATTGGATTCGAATCCAGTTTTGATTGTACAAGAATGAATTGTTTTACCCATTTCTAGTGATGTCAAGCTAGAACAAGCTGAAAGGCAGCTAGAGAAGATGGATTCATCAATGGCAATAGGACCTTTTTCATGCTTTGACAGGAGCTTTAGAGCTTTGTATCCATGCCCTTGCTGTGCATATGAGGATATCATATAACCCCATGACACAAGATCTCTCTTTGACATTGTTGAAAATATTCGATATGCATCGTTTAGACAACCACAATTTGAGTATAATCCTATAAGCGCAGATTCGATGTAGGCATGAGACTGAAACCCTTTCTTGATGATGTAACTGTGGATTTGCTTTCCTTTGCATACATCTTGAAGCTTAGAGATGGCATATAGAACAGCAACAAGAGTGAATTCATTTGGTTCTACAGAGCTTGAAGATTTCATTTTCTGATATAATTTCAGGGATTCCACAAAGTCTTCAGATTCATTGTAGCCAGATATTAACGCAGTCCATGAAAACTCGTTAAGAACTTCCATCGACATGAAAACCTTCTCTGCACTATGAACATCTCTACGCTTTGAGTACATTTCAATGAGATTGTTTCCTACAACAAAATTAGATCCATCTATTGATTTAAGAATCTGACCATGAAAAGTTTTAACTTCGTCGAAGAGCTCATGGCTTGTCAAAGCTTTAATCATGCAACTTATCGTTGAACAATCTAATGGTAATCCTAGTTTTCTCATTTCATATACCAATTTTACTGCATTGCTGTAGTCTGAAGTAGAAACAAAACCCTTGATCATAGCACTAAATATCACCTCATTTTTCTCCCCGATTTCAAGGAAACTTCTATAAGCATCATCGACCATTCCAAAACTAACATACATGTCTATGAGTGCAGTTCTAACAAACGAATCAACCAATAATGGAGTCTTCGCCAAGCAAGAATGCACTTGCAAGCCAAAATCTCTACTTTGCAAATCTGAGCACAAATTGAGTACACTAGCAAACATAAATTGGTCGACTGTGTTACCTTCTGAAACATACCTAAGATAAAAATCAATGCCTCGTTCTGCATCACCATTGTCACGAAAACCAGATAATAATGAAGTCCACACTACATGATCTCGCTCCTCTAGACTCCAAAAACTTCTCACGGAATCATCTAATTCACCCCATTTTCCATAAGAATCAACAATAGCTCCACCCACAAAATTGTAACAATCTAGCCCAATCTTTATACTTCTTCCATGAAAAAACCTCAACAAACCAATGTCAACTGCATTGGCCGATAACTTAATAAGAATTGTGTAAGTGAAACTATTCGGATCAAGTGAAGAGAGTAGCATCTGATGAAACAACCCAACAGCCTCATTCTCATCACTGTATCGAGCATACCCATCAATCAACGTATTCCAAAGAGCATCACATTTTTGTGGGATAGAATGGAAAAACATTCGAGCATCGCTCATGATACCGAACTTAGAGTACATGTCAAGAATAGAGGTACTACAATATGCATAGGATTCGAAGCCTGACTTAATGGAATAGCCATGGACTAGTTTTCCTATGTTTGGTTTGGAAGCGATGCGAGAGGCTTTGAGCGCCAAAGAAAGGCCAAATTCGTTCGGCTTTAGGCCTGAATTGCACATTGCGAAGAATTCTTGCAGTGCGAGATTGGCTCTGCCGGCTTGAAGGAATGAGGATATGGTGCTTGTCCAAGAGATTAGGTTTGGGCTTGGCATTTCGTCGAGCAGAAACTGTGCGATTAGAAGATTTCAGGTGAATAGGTATCATTGTTTTGCTATGGCATAGGTCTTCAGGATTCAGTGGAAGATAACAAATTTGAAANGGGAAAGAGATGAGAGAGAAATATATAGAGGAAGGATAGAATTTGCTGGTGTGCGTCTCTTTTGTTGGCAAGATATTTGAAGCTTGAACCGAGAGAAGCGAAGGGGTCGTCAAGCATAGGTCAAATTTTACAAACCCCCTTGCACTTTACAGTGTTTGCAAAACTCCTTAAACTTTATAAACTAGAGAAGCTTCCTGACCTTTGTTGCTTTGGACAATTTTGTACCGGTTTACTTTTTAGTTTTAGTAAGAGAGTAGGAATCCTAGCAATGCCTTTCCTATGGAAGTGGAGTGATTACAAATTACACCACTGATGTAATAACCATAATTCCCAAACTAGCTGACGTATCACCAGTGAATGGTGTAGATCACTCATTCTATGAGGTGTTATGATAGAATATTTACTCGCTAAATCTATGCACGACAATATTCAATGATTAAGAAGGATTTGTATACTTCTGCAAATTCTAAGAATTTTTTTGTAATTCATAAAGTTTAGAAAAGTTTATGTAAAACTTCCCAAAGTAGTGGGGGTCACATTCAATTTACTAACTATTACAAGGTCCTTAAACAGATTGAAAGAAAGTCGAGGGTTTAACATGTTAAAGTACACGAAGAGCTAGGATTCCTCTCTCTTCTTCGCCCCTTCGGCTTTTGTAAATGCTCGAGACTCGAGAAGCACCAGCTAGGGTTACAGAAAGATATCTTTTGCCCTGTCAACTCCTCTCAGCTGAGAGAACTTTAATTGATCAATGTTCAACTCAGATCATAGAGCAGGTAACTTTAATTGATTCTTTTGATCTCGTTAATACTCAATCTACCTGTTGGTGATTTTGTAGCATAGAGTGATTTATTTATCTACAATCTATTTTTTGCCCTCGATGATGTGATTCCCAAAAGTGAATTTGTAGTTCATTTGATGACTGTGTAAACTTTTTTCCTGATTCCAAATTCTTGAATTTACCAAAAAAAAAAAAAAAAAAAAAATCCAGAAAAAATTTACCAAAAAAAAAAAAAAAAAAAAAATCCAGAAAAGTCATTTCTTTCTATCAGGCCTTTTGGGTATTAGATTCCTTTGTAGATTAGTTAAGCATGTGTTCTGAACTAGCCATTGCTACTGAGATAATGAAGAAAAACATTTAAAGAAAGAAAAAGAAAAAAGGGGAAAAAAAAACTATGAGTTCTCCTTGCTGTGATTGAAAAGTGGGAGTAAACAATGAAAAGAGTCCTACTCTTCCATCTAGTCCTGTTGAAAGTATCTGCTCCACTTATCACATCCTTCTTAATAGTTCATACCAAATTTGCCTTAGGCCTACCTTTAACCCTTATTGCTCGATTAATGATGATCTTATGGCTCCTCCTAATTAGCCTTTAGGCCTAACTCTTCTATCTCCATTAATTATAATCTTATCAGTCCTCCTAATTGGTGCATGATTGAAAAGTGAGAGCAACAAATGAAATTCTCATAGATGCTAATAACCTAGCTAGTGATAGAAATTTCTGATCGGGAGGAGAACGATATATGTTATTACTAGACCATAGATGCCAACATATTTGGTGCTTCGTAGTGGCTTTAAATCTAATATCAGTATCCCTAACTTGCATATATTTTCATCTTCATATGAATCATATTTTTTTTATAAATAACTTATTAGTGCTTTTGAGCTATTTACCTTGACGATCAAGCTAGGTTTGACACACAAAAAGAAAACAAGATGCAATGGCAAAGGGTGGATGAGTTTCCCCCCTTTTTTTCGACAATTGCTTATGGTGATTTTGTCTTTGATTTCTTTAACTTTCATGTTGTTTGTACATGAATTAACTTCCGTATTTGTTGTTTATCCATCCAGTTCCTTTTTGTTAAGGGTCCATGAAGATGCTATGGAGATGATCCGGTTATTGATGAATGCTGCCCAGCTTCAAGCTGCAGGTGGCTCATCGTTTTCTTAACACAGGACATGATTTTCCCCTTACTCATCTGAGACTCTTCCAATGCTTCATCAATCATATCTGTGTGTTTTTAAATAGTTGTGTGCTTAAATAGTTCTGTACTTTCACTAAATATGTGTTCTGAAATGGTCTAGGTGTGATTTTCATTATTTTGCATGAAACCTTTTGTGACAGTCATACACAGTTCAATACCTTTTTTTCATCAGTTCAAATCTCCAAGTATATTCAAATTTTGAAGTAACTAATATCTATTATGAACGAAATTGATACAAGTTTCAAATCGAGATAAGCTTTATGCCAAGGTAAAAGAGGATAAATGGATCAGAAGAAAGATACATCATACAAGAGAGCATTTTTGTTTGGTCACTACTCTTTTAGTTTCTAGGGTGAAAGAAATGTCAGTAGGGAAAATCCAAAATACGTGATAGCTGGGTTTGTTGAATATAATGATTATATGAAGGGTTCTTTTCACATATTTGTCACTTAAAATCTTTCATATTTTTGAATTAGTCCCTCAAATCATTGAAATTGCTAATCCCCCAATTCATATAAGCTACTCCAAATGACTCCCTATGGTAAACTGTTGTGTGGATAAGGAGAAATATTCCCCACTTGAGTTTCCACACCTTGTTTTTTCTTAAGTGTGCATCCAAATGCAAGCTGGTTTAAAATCCAAACGCTCTTCTTCTCCTTCAATGGTCATCTTGTTACCCCAAACTCATTTTACACAAGAGGAAGAGGGGGTATTTTAGTCAATTGATGCTTGCACCAGCAATTTACAAGGTACTCTAATTGGGAATTGAAGATTTGGGAGGCAAATTGGCAATTATGAAGATTTGGGGGTGCTAAAATGCAATTATGGAAGATTT